CCCCCCCCCCACTTGATGTAGTAAATGAATAAAAATATTTTTTTTATTTATTGTGCATATTTTCAATCACACTACATATTCATATTTTAACATGTTATAAGGAAGTTTGCTGTTGTGTGCCTTCAACTCCTTTCCAACTTATGGCAACCCTATCACAGGGTTTTCTTGGCAAGATTTGTTCAGAGAAGGTTTTCCCTGGTCTTCCCCTGAGGTTGAGAGAGTGTGACTTGCCCAAGGTAACCCAGTGGGTTTCTATGGCCGAGGTGGAAATTGAACCCTGGTCTCCAGAGTCTACTCAAACCACTATGCCATGCTGGCTATCATTATAAGGAAACAACATTGTTCAAATTAGAAAAGTTTTATTTAAGTAAATTAACTCAATGCATGTAGTAAATTTTACACATAAAAAAATTTGGGAGGAGGAAAAGGAGGGCCTCCAAGTCTCAAAGGCCATTGTTTGAGAACCACTGCATTAAGCATGAATTGCTAAAATCACACTTACAGTTATAAAACATTTCTTAATAAATAAAGTGCACAACTTAATATTGCATCTTGTTTCCTGTCAATCTTCTATCTGAGTCCCTTATTTGGTAACCTGTATCTTAGATCTTCTTAGTTGGAATTCTATTTTTAGACAATTTTCTCTGTATTTCTGTTAGCTATCATATAATTGTGATCCTTCTAATCTTTATGCATGCTTTCTTTCAATTTCTATATTAGTTATGCTTTTCCACTTCTTTCTCCAGTGCTTTTTATAATCCCCATCTTCCTCAATCTGATATGTTGATCTTTCATTTATTAGGTGTTAATTTACCCAAGGCCATCATTTCCTTTAGATTTATTAACCAGTTGTCCATGGTTGGAATCCATATTCTCTGTAACAGTTTCATAGGAAACTTATTTGGCAATAGCCATGTTGGTCATGCAGCAAAATGTAGCAAAAATTTACAAAACTTTATTGGACCAACTAAAATGCACAGTGTGTTGTAGTGGTTTGAGCATTGGACTTTAACTTATATAAATTATATAAACTATAACTATAACTCGGAGACCAAGTTTCGAATCCCAGCTCACCCATGTAAACCCACTAGGTGATCTTGGGCAAGTCACACTCTCTCAGCCTCAGAGGATGACAATGGCAAACCCCCTCTGAAGAAACATGCGAAGAAAACTCCATGATATGATAGGTTCACCTTTGTTGTTCTTGTTGGAGTGTGCCTTCAAGTGGTTTCCAACTTACGGTGACCCT